CAAGGTGGAAGTTTCGCCTAGGGCACGAAACATCCTTCCACCGGCCCTGATGGGGACAGTGGTATGGTAAATTATTGGAAAAGGCAGTGGCCAAAAAATGAGTGGTATAGAACAGCACTGGCCCTGGAATGAAAAGACTTGTTCAGCTGCTTGCAAGATCTATCCTCCCCCACCCTGCCTTAAAAGAAAAAGGATGAGCTATATTCTGCAATGATTGTCACTTCCTTCATAATGCAGTTTTTAAAAAATTGTAACTCAAAGCTTGGGTTTTAAAGTTATTTGAAAGTCTCCTCCTTATTGGCTCTCTCCCCTCCCAACTCTTTAGAGTAACTCAGTTTAAGTACCCTGGAAGGGGTAAGGTTTGAGTCAACCCAGCTAGAATTTAAAATTGTTGTTTTGAGGAGATGAGTGGTATTTAGACCATGAAGTCATCCCACGATGATACATTTTCCAACCAGCGGCATGATTTAAAAAACAAACCAAACCCTGCATTTTCCAAGGCCTGGGAGAAACTTATTTTACTGTGTATGCTTCACAGCACTGCTACAGAAACCTATCAGCAAGAGACGGGACAGTGAAGCTGTACAGAAAGCCAAGATCCTTTACTCATCATGTATGAATGAGAGTAAGTAACTTGATTTTATTTTGGGGCCTGGGTGGGCTGTATATTACCCGTATTAGGCTCTGACACGCGTGCAGAAGAAAGCAGTAAAAGCTTAGGCCCAGACCCTGCCGTTGTACCCATGCAGGCCGTCATTTGTACTCACCGAACTCAGTGAGGCTCCAAGCAAATGAAAGATCCACTCACATGGATCCAATTGCAAGTTCAGAGTCTTGTTTTGTCAATAAAGTCAGGCAATGTGCCTCTGAATATACAAAGGCACAAGATACCATATTTACATAGTTCTCCTTTGAAAAGTGATTATGCTTTAAGGGACTCTCAAAACGATGTGGGAGCATTGACTGACAGGTTAAATGAGTAAATTGTTTCATAGAATCCTCTGATGGAATTGTTCAGCTGGCAATTAAGGACCAGATGGCTCCAAACTTTACCATCTTGGCTTGTGCCCTCAGGCTTCTCGCTCTGAACTCCTGAGTCTATGTCAGATAGCCAGTTTTCAGGCTCTGCAATAAATATTTGTCATCCCTGCTCTTCAACACTAACGAAAGTCTCTCCTCTATTATCATACTAGTATGTACAGTTCTGGCCTGAGGATTTTGGAGAGGGTAAGAGAGGTGATACTTTGGGGCACACCCCAAACTCAGTGGAGTCATTTGACATTAAAAGGATGGGTGGCAGAGTGAAGTAGATCAGGAACTTTAGGTCCCTCAGTCTTTTGCTGGCCCGCCCCTGCTTGTTCTCTTTGACCTTAGCGAATGACTTCCATCAAGTAGTTTTCATAAACAAGCTAGAAACAATGTTCATTTTTTCTAATGAAAATTGAAATTCTTCTTTGCATTCCTATTTCCTCTACATCGGGGCACCTAAATGGTAGGGCACACAAGCCAACTCTTCAACTGGGCCCTGACAGCAGAACCCTCTCAAAGTATCTCCGGGATGGCTTGCAGTATTTCTTGCTTTCTCCTCTCATCAGTGCAGCTACACCTGGCCCTAGCCTAGGTTGTGGTCTCTTGTAACTCTATGTCCACTTTCAACTCTCACAGTTTCTTCACCAGTCACATTTGTGTATGTCTCTAGAACCTCCACTGCCCAAAAATCTCATGCTGCCCTAATGTCTCCACAAGGTGCTGGTACTGTGAAATCTGTTTTACTTGTGGCTCTTCTGGGTCAAATGCAGTTAGCAATTTATCTTTAAAGTTTCTGGAATCTCTTGAGTCAATTCCTTGAGGGGGTGGGGGATCAAACCTGGTAGACTTGGTTCCTCAACATGTTCCTCTGGTGTTCTCCCAGAATTTTTTTTTAGAAGTTGTTTCCCCCCCCACCCCGTCTTATGGAGTATTTCTTTTCTGATGCTCCAACATGCTGTGAAGCTGACTGCCTACATGTTTTTTCTGTTGCACACTCCATTGTATTCTCTCTCTGGCCACTCCCATTCCCTCTCAATTTTGTTTGCAAATATCAATCAAACTCCTATGCCAGTTGTTGAGCAATCACCAGCAGGATTTCGTCGCTGCATGTTATTTCATTCCCTGTTAGCCCACAGCCATTATTTAAAAAGCAAGTTTTTCATCCCGTTTTCTTAAACAACAAATGACATTTCTGTCAGTCTTAGCGTGTTCCATTGAGTCCATCACTGTAGTACCTAAGCTGATTCTTACTTTATATTTTAAATCTGACCTAGATTATCACTATGTATTATTTATCTGAAACATTTCTTCCATTGGCTATGATGAACATACCGTAGAATTAGAGTGTAGAGAGGTTTACATTCCAAGTACAGGCACAGTGCAGCTGAATGCAATGCAAGTTTCTCCTTGCCCAGGTTATCAATGCTTGATTTGGATAAACTGTGATAAAGGAGTCATATACACCTCTACCTCGATATAACGCTGTCCTCGGGAGCCAAAAAAATCTTACCGCGTTATAGGTGAAAACGCGTTATATCGAACTTGCTTTGATCCACCAGAGTGCGCAGCCCCGCCCCTCTGGAGCACTACTTTATCGCTTTATATCTGAATTCATGTTATATCGGGTCGCGTTATATCGGGGTAGAGGTGTACTCTTATTTTCAGAGGCGTCTTTTCAGCAAAAGACCACCCAAGGCATTAGGTTTGAGCTATTCTGTTTAGTCTTGCCTAGAAATTGATCAGTCTATAAACCTTTCTATCTCATTGGCATGACTTTATACCCACTACTGGGTTTGAATTGCCTGGAACTTTAATGTTGGCACATCTTGTCATTTAAGATAAAATTGAAAAAGTTGATGCAAAACCACTGTTAAGTATACTGAAGCATTCGCTGTTCCGTTGGCCTGTGCTGGAATCTAACATCGGACCTGAAGGACAATGGTCAGAAAGGAAGTTCAGCATGCTCCAGACCCTTGCAACTTTTCGTGGTCAGTACAGTAACTCTGTCTTCATCCGTTTGTATGTGGCTCCTGATGACAAAACCTCCAATAAACACATCTTAAAGGTACAGTATAACATTTCTAATATGCTACTTGTCATAGCTATGTGATCCATTTTAAAAAGTGAGTTCAATACTGTGTTAATTTAAGTTTAGCTGTAACCGTTAGTACCCAATGGTTTGTATATATACATGATCACCCATATATGGGAATTTAGAAGCCATTACGTACCAAATGTTACACTATCACGGGTGAAAAATGTATGTAGATAGGATATTTTATTCCTTAATAGGGCAGAATTGTGAGTAAAATACATTCCTGATTAATCAATATCCAAGATCGATGTGGGTATCCAAATGAGGTCAGAATCTGATTCTTGATGGTTTTTGTGTCCTATATATTTGTGTGAGGAGGAATATTTTTTTCTGTGAAGATAAAAGATGGTGTATCATTTGCAAGTATTATAAATTTGGGATATTCCACTTCATTAGGCACTTAATTGGTGGCACTAGTATATTGTCCTATATTGATATGTCGTCATTCATTTCATATGATCCCCAAACTCATTCATGCTTTAAATACAGGAGTCACTTAACCTTTCAGTGAAATGCAATCACTTCTGCAGTGTAACATGGCTGCAGGTTAGCAATTCATGCCAACGCTACACAACAATTTAGGACAGTAAATGAATTAAAATATGTTACCTAGCTGTATCCTATTGAAACTTCAGGGGGAATTTAGGTAGGCAGGTTGTCACCAGGACAGGTAGAATTTAGGTAGGCAGGTTGTCACCTGGGTTAACGTGAGACTTGGTCCAAATTTTTGTTGCTTTTTAAGGAGAAAAAAAACAACCCTAAACCATATAACCCAACCCACCAGTTACCAGCAATGAGATTGTATGTCTGTGCTAGAGAGAGTTAAAGGCAAAGTGGAAAGTGACCAGTCACAAAAGTGAAATAAAATGGGTGATCCTTATATAAAAGTTGCCTTCTGGGCATTACATAGATTGCGTAGGGATATTGTGGACCTTAACTTTTCTGATACTAGATTTGTTATTGATTCTGGGTCACAGTTTTCAAAACCAGGTCAGGGATAGCCAACTGACATAAATGTTTATATTCCTAATGTTCCCTTAAAGTGATTCTTTCCACTACTCATTGAGTCAATAGTAAATCAAGTTAATGAGCCACTTCCTTGTTTTCATTAGCGGATTCCCACGTACAGACTACTTGAATGATGTTCAGATACTTTGGCCAAAGGTCTTTTTCTAATGGGTGAAAGACTAGAATCTCTATAGGAAGTATTTTCCAAGAAGCTATTTAGATAACCCAACTCACCCACATAAATTGTTGGTTGGGACAGATCCTTTTGCTAGTCTCCTAGTGATGGATTATATTTACTAGTGTGTCCACTGAATCTGTTTAGTAGTATTTAAGTGCATAAATTAACTGCACAGTCTGAATGACTGCTCATTGCTAATTTGATTAGAAGCTCGATTTGCAGAGTGCCTCTGCCAATATTCTGCTTAGTAACTAAATGTTTTAATTAATTCCAGGAGGGTAGATGAGTAATGAAGTATTTAAATCTATTTACAGGAAGAGATATATTTTAACATTCTTAAGCTTTCTCTCTCAGCATTACAGGTTCATGAGCAATGTGGTTCAGATGAAATAAAAAACTCTACTCAAATCCAACCTGAACCTTTTCCTGAAGGCTAAAGAAATTGATTAGCTTTCCTTTGCTTTTGCTTTTTCTCACATCTTTGCATTTCTTGGTTTCAACTAGAATATATTTCCAGCCCTAATGGAGCCAAGTATAAAAAAATTTGGAAGAAATTCTGTTCTTCCAAGACCTCAAGCCTGATTTCTAGACCAAAAAAGAGTTGGCCAAGTTCAGATAAGCATTTCAATCATCGGATGATTACTTAAAACAAACAAAATCATCCGAGGTCTACTGTTGCTGCTGTAGGTACTTTCTTTTCACTTGGACATGTTGAGAAATAGTACAGTGATATTGTTTCTCAGAAATCATAAAGCTGTTGAGTATCATTGCCACGTGCTTATAAACAACTAGAGGAATCTTCCTAAGCTCCAGTTGAGGAAGTGATTTCTATGAATTATTTGTATTATTTTGTATAAGATATGTTACAAAAGCTTTCAAATAGCAGGTGATATAGAAATGACAACATTTATGTATTTGACAGTCTGGTTGTTTTTATTTATTTCAAATTCTAAAAAAAAAATCACACATTTAAACCTCCCACTAAATTTAATAAATTTAAATATGCTATATTGCTATTATCTGTTTCTTTCTGTTTCTAAAAATGTGCCTGTGTAAAACTATATATTTAAATCTAATGTTTGTTCATTGGGCAGCGCATCATATTTTTTAAAAACAAAATTCTCCAGAGTAGTAATCTTGCAGCAACAATACTGCTGCTGGTGGCCTCATCAATCTATTATTCAGTGTTTTGAAATTGGTTGTGCCTTCAAAATGGGCATCTGTACCTCAGTCTAACATGAGCCAATATAGTGCTTTGGGAAAAATGAGAGTTTCCAGAAGTAATTTAAAAAAAATTGACTTCAGAGGGACTTTGCCTGATAAAGGACTTGCAGCAATATGCAAATATCCTGGCATGATTATTTCATCCTGCAGAACAAATATAAATCAGCGTGAACCTTAAATGTGCTGTAAAACGACTCTCTGAAAAAGGTTTCAGCACCACCTTTTCAACAGTAGGACAACCTCATTTATATTGCAGGTGGTGGTTTGTTTATTTCTTGGGGTTTCTAAAGCTTCATGAGTATAATGGAGTGGAGGTCAGTCCAAGTGTGGTTAATGCCATACAGTGCACTTTAAAGTTTTCTGCTTGTGAGAGTTCCTGTGGGATTTATCACAATGTTGCACAATTGATTGTATGTTAGTGTTATAGGACAGCGTAACAGGGCGGTGTGCTCCTTTAAGGGTCGGGGGAGCCGGGGAGCAGCCTGTCCTATTCTGAAGAGGAGCCCAGCAGGCAGGTGCTGGGAATCATCTGTCCCAGTCAGACAACATTTAGTGATTGGGGCTAATGGATCCCAGTCAGGGGATATAATTGAGGGCCCCAGTTCATGAGGCTGGTTGGGACCAGGAGAAGGCTCGGAATGCACACTCTGGCTGCAGTAGATGGCTGCAAGAGAGCAGGAAAGTCCTGCGAACCCCCCTCCGCTGGGCTAAGGTCCAGTGCCTTAAGGTCTTGCAGGCCAGAGAGCCCTGCAATCTTAGCTGAAGAACGTGTTACAGTTTTTTGTGTTAAAGAGTCCCAAAGAGCTGGACTCTTGGGCATGGCCAGTTGTTTATCCTAAACTGGTGATCAGATCCACTAGCCCCTATATCACCTATTCTAACGACCAGAAAAATACCTCTCTTATTGATGGCAGTTAATTGTGTGTATGTGTGTAATACAGACTATATAAGGAGTATTATATACTTTTCCTGTTTATTTTAACAGCTAGACCAAGCAACCCTGTCTCTAACTGCACGGGAAGATTACCTTGATAATACCACAGAAGCTAAATCTGTAAGTATTAGTAACTTGAGCTTTGATAAATCATTTTCCCACTATGAATTTTTTCTTTTTAGCTGAGCTCCAAATTGAGATTGGGCTCTGTGGTTTGCTATTTATGCTTGTTTATACTACAGTTAATTGCACGTCTCTTGTTCTCATCCAGAGTATTCTTCATTTTAGAAAAATTATAAAAATAAAAATTCAGCTCTGCATTTCCTCTGAACCAAACCTGAACCTTATAGTAAGTTTTGGCTTGGTTCAATTAAACTATGTAAAATAATCTAATGACTCTAAGCATCAACACTGTATTAAGTTCTCGTATTTTAGATCATTATTGTCAAATACATTTAGATGTATTTAATCCCAGAATGAGGAGGCCCTCAATAGGTTCCAAGGTCTTCAGTTTCTTTTCTTCCTATGGCCCCTTCCAAACCTCTTCATACTCACAGTTGAGTAGGGATTGCAAGATCCAAAAGTGTTCAATGATTATCCCAATATTTAGTACTTGCAACACCTTTCCCCCTAAGTATGATGGGAAATTATGCAATGTCCAGCACCTGTAGCCCCAGACTCTATAAATATATCCCCACAATCTTCATGGGGCAGTGGTGATTGCCCTCATCCAAGTTCTGACCCTTTTCCTTCCCCCTCCCAGCTCTCAGGTGAGCTAGTGTGTTTTCCAGTGGCATCCCTCTGGCCAGGTGGTGTCTCCAGTGAACTACATCTACCAGAAGGTGAAATATGTAGTTAATTGGAGTATAATTTTATTCCTGTCTTGAATGCTGGCTGAAAGGATTCCACCAGATGTCCTCCAAGACATCAGAGGACCTAGGGCATCCAAAAGCTCAGTGCAAGACTGGAGGATGGGAGTGAGTTGTTGCAGAGAGATCATTCTAGGAATATATTTTCTATACAAATATACATATTCAATTCCTTTGTAAGGGCTTGCCTACACACAGACTTAGTGCACAGCGAGCTGGGGTGTAAATCTACAGCACACTAGCTTACCATGAACTGGCCATGTGGATCCTGCTACTCCACGCTGTTTGATACAGTAGTAGGTCAAAGCACTATAGTGAACTTTCAGTCTACACAGCCATTAGTGCATGGTATGCTAGTGTGCTGTAGATTTACAGCTTGGCTTGGTCTATACTAATTCTCTGAGCTCTAACATCTGTAAGTATGTCTCAATCCAACACACACATGCCATTTGGTATGTTTTGAAAGCTGTATTCAGTGAACCACAGAGAGATCCTGTCAGCACAATACCTGTTATGGTGTTATTTCCCTGGTTCTCCTGCGGTGGAATAAAGCCAGTCTCACAAAATGCTTATCTTCCACTTGAAACAATGACTTAAATGCAGAATACTTTTCTTTTTACTGTTACAGCCACCCTCAGATGTAACTGCAATGCTCATTTCATTCTTCTTTCTCTTCAGTACAGAGAAGCCTTTTTGCAGTTCATGGTTGATATTGCAGTGCTTTTGGGTGCTAATGCCTCACGGGCAGAGTCTGATATGAAGTCAGTTCTGAAACTGGAAATTAAAATAGCTGAGGTTAGTAATTTGCTAATGTGTAATTGTAACTAACTGCTAAAAAGATGCATGAATTGAAACAATACTATATTACTGGTTTTCCTTCGTGCAATTATTTTATATTAACATACTTTGTAACATTTCTTGAAAGGTGAAGTGGAGGAGTAGAAACAGTAGTGAAAGTATGAAAAAGAAAAGCCCAAAGCAAACCTTCTGCATTAGTTAACTGTTAACTCAGAATTCTGTTCTGAAATAACCAACCGTGGGAGTATAGTCCATCCTTTAAATCTGCAAAATAATTATTAGTTTGAGTTTTGATGAGGCTGTTTTAGTTAAATGTGTTTCCCGTAGTGCAATCAGCTGGGCAATGTATTATCATTAACTTATGCTTGTGAGGAAGGTTGAAGTAATTGTTGAAGTAATACCATTAAGTATTATTACAAACAGTTTTACGTCTAGCTTTCCTGTTGAAATATTTTGTTGTCTTTTAGAACATTATGGCCACCTGAATTGTGTGGGCTCTTGTTTGTTCAGTTACAGAACGATGGGTTTAGTCAATCAATATTCCATTTGTATCTGCGTGAAAAATGAGGCCATGGTAGGAAAATGGATCCCTCCTCACTCCTATCGAATTTATACTTGCTTTTTACCCATAAAACTCCTAGATCTCTGGGAACTGTTTGGAGACAAAGGCAACATTTGTGGTGGCCCTGTGCTTCTTGCTCCGTTGACCTACATACCAGCATGGCTCCTGCAGGGACTTTTCTCCCAGGGGTGGCACATCCTGCTAGCATTCCTGTGAACTCCTTTGGTCAGGGTGAGCAGGAAGGGTTTCATTCAGTGGTGACGAACTGTTATAAATTAGTGCTGCCCCATCAGCATTAATGTATATGGAGTTCATGGTTTCTGGACAGTGCCGTGGAGAGCAGCCATCCATCCATCCCACCACCTCCTAACACAGGGGTGGGCAAACTACGGCCCACGGGCCAGATCTGGTCCCTCAGGGCTTTGGATCCGGCCCGTGGGATTGCCCCCCGTGGCGCCGTGGGCCCCGCGCCGCTCTCAGAAGCAGCCAGCTCCATGTCCCTGTGGCCCCCGGGTGGGGGCACAGAGGGCTCTGTGCATTGCCCTTGCCTCCAGGCACTGCCCCCCGCATCTCCCATTGGCTGGGAACGGGGAACCGCGGCCAATGGGAACTTTAGGGGAGGTACCTGGAGGTGCGGCAAGGGCAGCGCACGTGGAGCCCTCCGCTCTCCTCCCCCAGGGGCTGCAGCGCTTCCTGGAGTGGTGCTGGGCCGGAGACAGGGCAGGCATGCAGGGAGCCTGCCCTGGCTCCGGTGCGTGCCGCTGCCACCCTGGAGCCGCTTTAGGTAAGTGGCGCCAGGCCGGAGCCCGAGCCCCTCCTGCACCTTGCCCCCCAACTCCCTGCCCTAAGCCCCCTGCCTGCACCTCGCAACCCTCCTGCACCCCAACCCCCTTCTCTGAGCCCCCTCATACACCTCACATCCCTCCTCTGCCCCAATCCCTTGTCCTGAGCCCCTTTCTGCACACCGTAACCCCTCCCACACCCCAACCCCCTGCCCCAGCCCTGCATACAATTTCCCAACCCAGATGTGGCCCTCGGCCCAAAAAGTTTTCCCACCCCTGTCCTAATATGTGGAACCTGAAACCTCTGGAGACCATTGGTTAAGCTTGTTGGGGAAGGATAGTGGGTAGCCTGCCATAAAGCCAGATCTCTCCCCATCACACACAAACACTATTAGTCTTGATGTGCTGATTTCTGCTGCTGCTTATCACAGAGTAGAAAGTAGCATATGGCCCTAAAAGATTTTTTTTGCAGAATTTGGGGTGATCCAAGCTGGCAGCAGTGTATCAAATCAAACATTCAGCTTTATTTTATTCAAGACAGCGCCTTACAGAGCTTGCTTCATTGTAATGAGCATATTCTTCACTGTCTCTCATTACATTGGAAGAGCAATACATGTTTGTTCAGCTCTTTAGGGACACTGCAAATGGGTGCACTTTTCCCAGACATTGCCATCACTTGTGGCTCCAGTAATTCCTTCGATAAAGCCCTACAGACTTTTAGTTCATGAATTTAGTGCACATGTGAAGCTGCCACATAGATGAAATGGACCCTGAGAGCCTTCAGGGTCAATAATAGTCACTGAGAGACATAATACACTGAGAGTGATAATTATTGCTGTTCAAGGGGAAAAAAAAATGCCCTAAAATCTAGACATGAATAAAGACCGGAGTCCAATGGCTTTGATTGTTAACCAAGCCCTAGTGAATGTAATTGGTTATATAAACACCCCTGTGTAACTACAAGACAGACATTAACTCTTGTTATCTTGGTTTTTTATATATATATACTGTGTGCCCTATATTCATTTTAAGTGAACTTACCTGGGGAAGACTTGTTCAGGGAGAGAAGTAGCAAGAATGGAAGGAAAATATTTCTAAGAATAGATCCTGTGATTAGAGAGGATTTGAGGGAATGTGTGGAGAGCAGATGCTAAGATTTCAGGTAGATGTGGGTGATTGCGAACTACACACAAGTAGGAGAGTTTTGTGGGGGAAAGAAAGCAGAGCATGCAGGATGAGTTTAAAGATTTGTCACATGTCAGGGGGTGGTACCAGTAGGCATGGAGAAACATGAAAGTTTAAGCAGGAAAGAGTGGGAAGATTTTAGGGAGTAGAGCCTGTGGGGAGTGGGGGAAGAAAAAGATGACATATGTGAGGGGCAGTGAGGGAAGGGAATTAAAATATCTGAGGAAAGTCATATTTTCTGTATTGCATAAGCAAAAGCCAGAGAAACTTGGTTTGGGAGTTTGGGTTGGAAAACTGCCATTAGTTTGGTTGGTCTGGAATCTTGCCATCTGTGTCCTGTTTAGTTTCAACGGAGTCCATGGTATAGAAATTACCTTAGAATTAGGCTGGAACCAGCATCTGAAATCCTAACACCCTTGAACTTTGAGGACATTTTGAACTGGATCTGAACTTTGTGCTTGGACTACTTTTTTTATTATGGACAAACCGAAACCTTGGAATCTGGATAATCCTCATAATTTATGAATGGGCCTAGTTTTCTCTGTAGTATTTCTTTTTGACCAGATGCTTTTGAGGAGGTGGAATGGACTTCTAGTTGAGGTGATGAAGTGAAGAAGTATTAATGGGCTAAATCTGGCTCTCACTTATGCTGCTAAAAATTTGAATGGAGTGACTAGTAATTTAATGTGATGTAATTGGAGCAAAATTTGGCCCAATTTTTAAAAGAAAAAATACTGGATAACTTACTGAAGTGTAATAAGTTAAAATAACATTAGTTAGTTTTGGGTTTAGGATAGCTGACTTTCCTTTGAGGATCGGGAGGCAATTTGTTGCTATGAACTACTTTTTTTTTTTTTTTGCAGCTGGACTGAGATAGTTCTCAGTTTAATACCTATCATATTATTTGTAAGATAAGGATGTTTAAAACATATTTATTTTCATTTATGTTCTCTAGATAATGATTCCACAGGAGAATCGAACCAGTGAGACTATGTACAATAGAATGAACATATCTGAACTTAGCACTATGATCCCTCAGGTTGGTGGAAGTTAACTGGAAAATTGCTCTAATGTCTGGACTATGTAACTCACCATTTACAACTGAAGGTGCTTCAAATGTGCACATGACAGCATTTTAAATGAACATTAGTACAAACAGGTGTTCTCTAGTATAATTGTTGTTTTAAATACAGCTGCATCTTTAAGTACCAAACTATTTGCCATGATGAAATTAAATATTTTAAATGAGCAAAAACCTTTGTGTCATTTAACTGAACCCTGCCAATTAATTATGTCTGATCTTCCCTGTTTGTCAAATGTATTAACTGAGCTTTTCTTTGTCCTTTCAGTTTGACTGGCTGGGATATATCAGGAAGGTGATTGACACTAAACTCTACCCTGACCTTCAAGATCTAGGTCCTTCAGAAAACGTGATTGTCCGTGTGCCCCAGTACTTCAAAGATTTGTTCAGGATACTAGAAAAAGAAAGGAAAAAGTGAGGATTATTATTATGTTTTGTAGATTCCAAGGCCAGAAGGGACTATTGTGATCATCTAGTCTGACCTCCCATATAACACAGCCCATAGACCTTCCCCAAAATAATTCCTGGAGTGTATCTTTATTATTTTATTTATTTATTTATTTTTTAAAAGCACTCAATCTTGCATTTTAAAAATGCCAGTGATAGAGACTCCACCACAATTCTTGATAAATTGTTCAGATGGTTAATTACCCTCACAGTTAAAAATGTGTACTTTATTTCCAGTCTGAATATGTCTATGTCTAGCTTTAACTTCCAGCCATTGGACTGTGTTATACCTTTGTCTGCTGTATTATACCGTGCATTCAACTACACTCAAAAGGGTGGGCCAAATCCGGGGCATTTCAATGAGAATCTCAGATGTTCAGCACTCTCTTGGCTCAAGTCTTTACTCAGGCAAACCTCCCATTTGGTTTTGCTTGAATAAAGGCTGAAGAATACAAGCCTTGTAGATGGTAATGCAATTTCTAACTTCAAATAAAAAAAGTGAAATAAAAAAAAGATCTTGCAGTGCGGCTTGCAATTACAGGTGCATCCAGCTCACCATTCTAATATACGTTTAAGGCTTGATTGTCCATGGCCTTGCATCTTGTGTAGTCATTTACTGCTGTGATATGGATGTGTAAAATGCTACTAGATCAGAATGGTAGCATTTTGCACCCACTTTGCTCAGGGGTGCAAGACATGGAAGAACAGTCCCTTAGTATAGAGAAAAATGTATATGCTTGAATTGTCTGACTTTGCAATACTCCTTTATTACTGAAACTAACAGCTTATGAATTACTCTGTTGAGCTACTTATTTAATGATTGCCTCTTACCATCCACCTTTTTATTTTTGGTTGAATGTCTTTCTAAAAACAGTTTATTGCTAGCCATGCAATAATATTACTTGGTCAGAGCATGTCAAACTAAAGTCATCTACATAACAACTAAAAAATACTAGAACAAGGCAGAAACTTTATTCTGATGTTATTGCACTGTATTTCTTCTCTTAATAAGAACATATTTTAAAAAATTCATAATACTTGTAAAATATCAGGCAATACTAAAAATAAAAATTAGTGTTTCTTCAACCGCCAAACAATCAGCTATCATAACCTGCTTTAAACAATTCAAACAGACACGACCACAGAATTTCTCCTTCAAATGACTGAATAATATGCATTGTGCGGCCCCGATTCTCCATTGCCTTGTGCCTTGGAAAGTCAGTTTCATACATGCAAAGTGAGTATAAAATGCTTATTTGGTAGCATTTTACACCAACTGCATATGTAGCAAGGCAATGGAGAATTGGTCCCTTTATGTGTATGTTTTGTATTATATTGCTATAAAGCAAAGAGGCTCATTTTATTTACTTCAGTGTCCCATCCTGTAAGGTGCTGGGAGGATTGGGTCCTACAGCTTAATTAAGAGCTAGATCTCCCTAGCCTTTATGCAGGAGCACAGCAGAGGGGAGGGAGTAAAGAACCTCCCCTCTCTTGTGAGGGTGGCATATGGGCTGGGCACAGGTCCAGGCCCTGTGTTCAGTGGAGTGCCAGTACTACTCCCTAACTATTGCCCTTGGGCACAGGGTGCCCCAAAGAAAGCAGAAAGTGCGGGAGTAGGCAAAGCCATGACTCTGTTTCCCCACACCCCATGCACTGAGCTTCATCCCTTAAGGAGGGCAGCAGTTTGTGAGAGTCCTCAAGACAGGCTATGCCTACACTGTGCAATCTAGTCCTAAGAAAATTGATTCATACGTTGTTAGAAATGGTAAATTATAGCATGATGACTTAAACATAAATAAATTTATTCAGTTACTTTAATATGGCCGTTGTTAATCACGTGTTTGTCAAAGATACAAATACATTAATACAGAACATCCATTCAAAGATTCACTACGTAGTAACAAAAAAGCTTTTTTAGGACTCTTTAGGATGTCACAATTGGCTCTGAAAGTTACTTTATTATCTAATTTGGAAAAAATAGTAACAGGAAAGAAAACTTCTCCTTTTCCACCACCCCCATAAGTGTAGAGCAATACACAGAGCCTTAAATCTGCCTAAATGGTGAATAAGTTCAAGGATAAATGCTTAAATGTCATATTTTATATAGCAGGTGAATGTCAGAAAGGAGTTTAAACAGCAAAATTAATGCAAACAATGTGGACTTGATTTCAGATTGTCACAGTAAATATTTGTGTGTTAATATTTCTATGTTAATATATTCCACTTGATTCCTTCTGAAGTCCCAGTCGTATTTCAGTGGTTATAACATAAATTAATTTCTGAATCACTTCAGGAGATATAGTATCATTAGTGGAGCCAGGTGAATAGTAAGAAAAATTATTTGTGGATATTTCTGTGGCATCTAAATAGGATTTTCACTTTGACTGAGTTCCATCCCTTTTCAGGCACAAAATTGTTGTTATTATTATGAGTATTGTGGTAGCCATAGGAACCCCAGTAGTAGACCAGGACTATGGTAGAAAGTGCTGTACAAACACAGAAAAAAAGACTGCCCCAGCTCCAAAGAGTCGTACAGTCGAAGTAAATGAAATTTGTTTCAGATAGAGGAAGAAGCAGCTTAAAGATTAGGTCATCCATTCTGAGAACAGAAACAATATCATGCGAATTAAGTGACAAATCGCTCAAGTTGAATATTGAACTGAACCCCAGGTATGGATTATTCAATGAAGTATTCACAGAGAATTTTTTGTAAGCAATCCACATATTGAAAACTATTTCCTCCGAGCACTCACTGGACCCTTTTGAATAGTGAACAAATTCATTAAAATTGCAGTCTGATTGGAGACAGCACAAAAACCAGAATAGGAGCTAAATTCATTGCATGAATTTTTCACAGGCCATTATTCACTCAGCTCTAATCGGTTCATGGTAACTCCAGTGAATTTAATCAAGATATTGTATGGTATGCCCTAGGAATCTTAGATATTAACTTACATCTGTTATATAAGGAATCTGTTCTTTCCTCAATGTCCGTTTCACTTTTGTTAAGGAGAATTTGTGTACATTGAGAGAAGAACAGTCCCATGTATAACCTGAGAGCAATAAAGGGATTTGTATCCCAAATACAAATCTTTGTAACTGTTACAATAACAATGATTATAACCCTAACGGAACTCAAACTGAAGAACTACTTTCCTGTTGCTTATCCTACTGGTCTGGCAGAAGACAAATAACTAACACTCACTCTTCCATAGAACATAATGGAATAAACTTTTAGAAAACTTGAAGCCTAGTATTCTCTTTGCACTTCAGGATGCTCCTGCTAAATTAGTTGTGGATATGCCGCTGCTGGAGTATGGTAGAGAGAGGTTTAGAAGTGCTCAGAATTTGGTTCCACAATTCAGTTAGGAATGCAAAAATGCATGCACAGCTTATGCCCCTCAAGGAAGTCCATTAGTTGGAAAACATGGATCTATTTGTTGAGCTTGTATTAAAACTGTCTATCAATAAATATTGATAGAAATGCTAGCATGATGTCACAAAATCCTAGCATTTTATGTAGGTCATCAACTTTATTCACTGCCAAGGCATTATTGTTCCTTACAGTGTTATCACAAATGTGTGGTCTAGTTCGAAATGTCCCAGGAAACAAGGTTTCTACCACTTCCTTTGGGAGACTATACCACAAACTAACAGACCGCTTTGTTAAGAAATAATCATCCTAAACTTTCCATTTGTAGCAATCATTTATCAGTCAAAGTGGGACAAAATGTAATCTTCCCAAGGACTTTAGTTACACAGAACTTGGATCTGGGACTTGTATGTTCTATTCTAGAACTACATCTCAGTGTGGGAAGCAAGGCAAATAGCTCACATTCTCCGTACCTCAGTTTCACCATTGGTAAACTTGGCATATTAGTTGCCTCCTTCACACTGGCATTGTGTAGATTAAATAATTTGTAAAGCATTCTGAGAGGCTTAGGTGAATGGCAACACAGAAGTAAAAAGTACTATTGTTTTAAACCAAAGTGGTGAAATTAGCCCCATCTATCTCTATTCTTTTTGTACTTTGTGTACTTGGCCGAAGAGACAAAGAATAGAAGCCAAGGATTGGTAAACAGGTTCAGATAAAATATGAACCCTGCTCTTCCCAGGGCCGTAGCAACAAAGAACGTGGCCCCCTCCGAACGGTGGCCCCCTCCGAACATATGTCCGGGCGGGGCCCCTTACAATGCAGAAACTGGAATGCGGTATTTATTTTGCCACTTTTAGGGGCCCCCTTCCTTGCGGGGCCCCCTCCGGTCGGAGGGTACGGAGGGCGCTCGCTACGCCTCTACCTCTTCCCCACGCTCAAGAAAACAGAATAACCAATCCTCATCCAGAGTTTGAAATGAAACCTTTTTCATTGCTTTATATTTTTGAGTAGCAGGGGATTCAAATACTAGTTCAAAAAGAAAGTACCAGAGATCTCATCAAAGCACCCATTCTTGGAAGGTGTCCAGCCCAATTTTTCAGATCCAGTTCAAATAAGATTTGGATAATCTTCATGTATTTATCTAAACTCAGCCCCACCTCCATATCATTGACTTGATCCAAAAGCTACTGAAATCAATGGAACTACTTACAGTGATATCAATGGGCTTTGGATCAGGCCTATTTTTGAAGTTCATCCATCACTAGTTACATTCCCCACCCTTTTATTTTAACTCAGAACAGATTTCCTAACCCATAATCAAGGATAAACACCACCCAAGGTGGAGCAAGAACTGCACACAAAGGAGAATTAAATTTCTGTGGCGTTTAAGTGCTAAATTGTAAAATGTAATTGCCTCATGGTAGTGGTCTTTCTACATGGGGTTTTCTCCTTATAAGAATTTTAATGAAAATTAAGCCTTTTATCATTTTAATCCACAGGAATCCTGCAAATACTTTTCTAGATTCTAATAAAATGCAGGGACTTAATAGGTATTGCAGGAGCATGGATGCAGCCCCGCTGAAGCGCTTTGAAATTGATAAATGTGAGGCTTGTGGAAATTAGCTCACTTGCAGAAATTTTACTGAGTAGGCACTTAGAGCATAATTCAGTTTGTCATTGCTTCAGGAAACCCCACATTGACCAAACATTTTTTGTGAAAGACCTGCTATTTTGAGGTATCATTATTGATCCTGGAGTATATTTTGATGTTTCTGATTCAATTCATTCAATCACGACAAAAAGAACTGTTCGAAGTCTTGTAACCTGAGCTCATGCAAGCTAATCTTCTTGATGACATTATATATTAGACATGTATATTTCTAATCACTGAAAAAACATCCAACAGACACAATATATTATATGATTACATGGACATTTACATACAGGAGGGCAGATGATTGCCACCTAGATCCTAGTGAAGGGTTCCCTCCATGCATGGGATATCAACCCCCACATGTGGAAGGAGACTTGGATGTTGCCATGACACTGTTCCTCTCCCTTCAGACCCGTGAAGGTCTCGCCACAGTAGGAGAAGATGGGAAAAGGGGAAGCTTGGGAGAAAGGAGTGGTCAGGCTGAGGGTGAAGCCAGGGCAGGTGGTTCTTAGCCCTGCTCTGACCATATGGATCTTTCCTGGAAAAGGAAGCTTGTCTGTGAGGGTAGCCACTGCTGGGGAACCTCATGGCTACAGGGCATTCAGTGTCAGTGCTCAGGTAAAGGGATTCCTTGTGGATGGCTTTGGCCTCTCTCAGATCTCCTGGGAAACACCAGGTTTGAGGTGGGCCCCACAGCCCTTGCCCCAGGAAGGCAAATCTTTCCTATGCCTCATAGGATGCTATGGCGAAATATTCACAAGGGAACCTTCACAGAGTTTTCCTTATTCCAACCTGCCTCCTTCAGTTTTCAATACAGAAGTGGTGCAATCTGTCTGATCATATAGTAGAGCTCATTACTTTATCTTCAGTCATAAATGCTTCCCAAATTATCCTGTTCCCCTTTTCTTAATCATGACTTTTGCTAAATACACTCATGTGCACTCCAAGTGCATGTGATCAGGGGCAAATCTTTAGTGAATAAGTTACTATGATTCACACTTGTGTATGACTGTACCAGTGTGTTTAGGGCATTGCTGTAGAATACTTCAGTATTTTCGAGAGGGTGAAATCTAAATTCCTCACCTTGATTTTACAGTGCACATATGTCTCATACAGCAGGTGCTAGTTACCCCATCACAGTAACCATACACATTGGACTTGAGAGTGTGTTGTTTAATGTTTAGTGAAGGGTAACAGGAGTTGGGTCTCCTGGGAGGGTTGGACAAGTTGCTCCTATCTATCTTTCAACCCCTCTAGTATCTGAGCGCTTAAGCTTTCTCTGTGTTTCAGTTTATCCATCTACAAAGTGGGGATAGTAATATTTGCCTACAGTAATTCTCAGAGTGCTAATGAAGAAATGCTTGTAAAACACATTGATATTTTCATAAGAAAGGTGCTAATACAAGGGTGACCGGACAGCAAGTGTGAAAAATTGGGACACTTTTTTTTCCAGTTGGGGGGTGGGGGGGGACACAGCATAGTTTCCTAAATAAGACAAAGCCACTAATATCAGGACATCTGGTCACCCTAGTTAATACCACGTAATGACTATATATGGGAGCTAATTATCCATGATTTTAGTTTCATGATCATTATTTGCAGGTCTTACTAGTAAAGAGAGAGAACCTGCACTTTGATTTACAAGTAAAAAATTACCAGATATTGTGTAGTTTCTGTACAGAGCAATTACGTAATTACTGTCACTGCATAGCACTTACCATTTGTGTAAAGAGTACCTAAATGAAAATTGCATTGTAAAAAGAGTACAACTATGAAATGTATATATCAGGATACGAATGTGTTAAAAGCATTCTCTAGAAGATGGCTCCTATCATGAAATCAGGCAGTAAATGGCTGTCTTCATGCAATTTCTTCTGTGTAATAGGATTTTATCAATTCGGTCATAGCTCATCATTAATTTTAAAGGTGAAATTTCTGTCATTCAGTTCAAACTGCTCTTACAGAAAGCCATTCAGATATTGCTTCTACAAGTGCTTTGCTGTACATCACATGGAATTAAATGTTTGATAAATATGTATGTCTGATTTAACAGGACTATTGCCAACTATCTGGTATGGAGGATGGTTTATTCAAGAATATTTAACCTCAGCCGACGCTTTCAGTATAGATGGCTGGAATTTTCGCGGGTAAGTTCAAGATTTTTCAGTTTTTATGATATGTGAGACTGGTAGTGACATTCCCCAGGGTACAATCTGAACTGTTGAACTCTTTAGCCTGGGGTGCCTTCTACACGGCTTTGCTCTCAGAACATCCACTCCTGGCCTGTTCACACAGACTTCAGCATGCAAATTCACTCCCAACTAAATACATGAGCACGCTGACCAGTCACTCCTGAATTACATACAGGTCGACACCCACAAATTCCTAGTCCCAGCCTTGTCTCCCAGAAATTTGTGCCTTGTACTGCTTATTACCCTTTTGAACAGTACAAGCTCATAGAAAGTCCATCATTTCATCAAAGGAAAATGATAATGCACCAGCCCTGTTATCCCAAATGGAGTTTTCCCACACACTTTAACCTAACACACAGGTTAAGATAAAACAATAAGATAAGAGTACTAACTACAGAAAATAGATTTTAAGTGATTACAAATAATGATGCATAAGAACCCGGATTGGTTACAAAAGAGTAAAACGCAAGCTAACGGCTAACTTAACAAATGAACAAAATTCAAAATGAAGGTTTTCCTCACCATACGTTGCAGTAAATTTCACCGTCTGGGTCTCCTTCCAGCCTGGGCCCCTTCCCCTTGGTTCAGTCTCCTTCAGGTATTCACTGATGTCATGAGCAGAGAGATTGGAGGAGGAGTTGAAGTCAGGAGTTTTCCTTCCCTTTTTATAATTCAATTTTTTATTGGCCAAGTACAATAGAGTGCTGACCTATAACCAGTCTGGCAGGATATTAAGATCCCAAATGGAACCCTTAGAGTTTAGGGGTTGTGCTTTATGACACACCAAATAGCTACTTGCATTTATGTACTCACTTGAGAAATCAAAGAAAATATATACATCAAGTTGGTTGTACACTTTCCAGCACAACATTTTCAAGTTGTCATGTAAATAGGCCATGTGAGGGTTCCCTGCATGTGGGTGAATTCCATCCAGTGTGCTAAGCACAGTACAGACAGGCCCCTGAGTTTCCAGCTTGCCTCCGCCTGGCAATGGGTTTCAGACCTGAAGAATGTGAATCTTGGCATCAAGAGGTTTAAAATGAAAATGGTTTGCACTTTGCAGAGGAAGGGGAGGGGAAAATCACACAGTTAATTAAAAGTGGAAGGTCATTTTCATAGGCTGTAAAACAGGACATCACTGCTGAGAAATTGCTTTGTTTATAGTATCAGCCATTTTTCTACACTGTAGTGCTAGTAGCACTCATAGCAGGCCAAGCCTCAGTTGCATTGTGTTACTTACCAAAGCTGGATTCAAACCAGTGACTTAAAGCTGGAGAACCCTGTGTCCCATAACTAGCCCTGTAAGCCACAGACTCCCTGGATGTTTGGTTACTTTATAGTAAGTTTAAACTTTACATACTATTTCCATTTCATTGGGGGAATTATTAAAGTGACTTTTACATGATGAGACAAGGCATCAGAGGAAACAAAGATTTCATTTGCCAATAAATAAATAAAAATCCCTGAACGTGTGTTTGAAACCATTAAAATCTTGAGGATCCCTGTTTTCCTCCATTTTGCACCTTCCTCCTCCCTTAATGGCCATTGCCACATGCCAGTATGTTTTGGGCTGATAAAAGATGAACACAGATCCCTTCAGAGTCCATCAACATTGCTGTTCAATTGACTGGAAAGGGGCTCCATTAAGGGCTTGCCTATACTTATGGCTAAATCGGTACTGCTGCGTCGATGCAGCGTTGATGGTGGAGCGCTCTCCCGTCGACTTCTGTACTCCACCTCCCAGAGAAGAGTAAGGTAAGTTGGTGGGAGAGCATCTCCCATCAACACAGCATGGTGTAGGCACAGCGGTAAGTCAACCTAAGCTACGTCGACTTCAGTTACGTAACTTATGTAACTGAGGTAGCGTAACTTAGGTCGACTTTACACCTTCAGTGTAGACCAGCCCTGAGTGACTCCAGGCATTTCTTCCTTTCCCGATAACAAATTGGGGAGCAGGCCATTGGGGGAGGCTAGCCCTTGGCCCCTCCTCTTCTGCCCAAGGCCCACCCCTCTCCCTCGCCATACACCTCACTCCCCCACCGGAGCCCAGAGCACTCCCACCATGGCCGCCGGCCCCACAGCCCTGGGCCGCTCGAGCGGCCTCAGTGTCCCCAGCCTGAGCCCCGGAGCGCCGGGTGGGCAGCACACGGGCAGGGCCACGCTAGGCTGTTTGGGGAGGCTCAAGCCTCCCCCAGCCTATGATGCCCACTGCCCATGGGAGCAAGGCAAGGCTGGCAGGTACAAAGTGGTGCAGGCAATCAATATATTTTGACTAGCCTACATGCTGACACTTTCTCTCAGTCAAGATACCTCCTCTCACAACACCACCCAATACATTTTTTGTCTCACTGGAATCTGACCGCCTGCTATCTCTTCCCCATCCTCAAAGTTCTTCCTCCTCCTATAGCCTACTGCCCAATGCACAAACAATATCATGTTTGGTACATTGAAGGGAGTTGTGGTATAATAAAATGGCTAGTCAAAAGATATGCATATGCATATGTCAAACATTAACTCTGTATTATTTGAAACTTTTTGCCATTAGAAATTATTCAATGAAAGATTAACTTTGTCTCCATGGCTTTTTTCTTCTTCTTTAACTCCAATATTTCTTTCCTTCTATTATACATATTATTACTTTTCCTCTATTTTTTCAGTATGTTTCACCTCACTCTTATTTCTCTGATGCTTTTCTCATCTAACTTCTTCCTCCTACTCATTCTGTATATTCTTCTCTTGCTACGTTCTCTGTAGTCTTTCATTCCCTCTTTTTTATCCTGGACTATTACTCTACATCCAACTATGCATGTCTCTCTCGCAATTGCACACTGGACCTCCTGCTCTCTCTCAGGCACTAGGGCCACTGGTGCCAGAACTGAAGGAGCAAGGGGCCATGCCTCCCACTTTTTAACAAAAGAAACAAGCGGAGAATTCATGTCCCTGCAGATCCTCCCCTCCCCCCCCCCGAATAATAGATTCTGCCAGGGAGGTGCTACAGATATACATTTTGCCCACTCGGAATTGCTGTGGGACCAGAAGAGAGGGCAGCTGGCTCATTGCTGGAGCAGCCAGCCGTGGAGAGAGAGAGAGCAGGCACTTTGGCCTCAGCCTCCCCACTTCTACAAAGGTTCCAGCGCCCTCTCCTACCTCACACATTCATGCCCCTCTACACTGTCACACACATTTGCCCCACTCCCCCCACTCAGTGGTGCCTTTCTACACTCCCACTTTTCTACTGCATTCACACACTCATTGATAGCCTCTACTCGTGCTGGTGCTTTCTTTCTCACACTGATATTAGTGCCCTCCCAGAAATGCCCATGCAGGCAGGCATACTGATGACCTTCCACATTCAGTAGTTCCTACCCCAATCCTTTGCATCCTAATGGCAGGCCTGGTTCAGGGGAATGGGGAGTGACCAGAGGGGTGGTCTTTTGGGTGATGTTGAAGTTGGTGCAGAATGCTGCATCCTGCTCATTAAATGGTGAATTAGACATTAAGAAGGCAGATCCTCAGCTGGTGTCTTTTTGAAGACTATGAAAATGCAACATAAATAGTAAAATGACCCTGCTGTTATATATATATATTAGGTTATGTCTGTCTGTTACTTTTCAAAATTTACCATGAGGATACTGAGTTATTTCCATGGTTTTTCTCAAATGGCATGTTCTGATGGTTTATTGTGCAATGCCAACAGGTAATCCAGGGAACCACATCTTTACTGCCTCAGTGGGATAAATGTGTAAACTTTGTAGAAGGAGCACTCCCTTATGTCATTGGCAGGATGTTTGTGGATGTCCATTTTCAAGAAGACAAGAGAGAAATGGTAAGTCCTCCTCAGTCTCTATCTGAAAACTTTTAAATAGTTTCTTTCTCCCAGCAGAATAAATTTCAAGTTGAATTTATCTTTAAAGAGAGACTTTCCACCAGCAATGATTTTAAAAATTTCACTTATTCAGAGCAATGGATGGTAGGGAAAAACAGAACAAAGAAAAGGAAATGCCTCCTCTCCCTCCAGCTAAATTCAGTCTGTGCATTCATTTCCAGTTCAGGCCTTTGAGACAAATATGTAGCTGGATTTAAAAATGTATCCAGGTAATATTTTCACCATGAATAACACTTGTAGTTATGACTTCTAAGATAAGGGTAATTCTTGTGATGCAGGAGCCAACTGGCATCATCATTGGAACTGTAGGATCTGATCTTGAGGATCTGATCCAAGACTTCTCAGCTGTGAGGGTCAAGAAGGATCTCCTCTCTGCAAATGCAGCATTGCACAGTTGACTATATGCATTCTGAATATCCTCCCTAGAAGTTTGAGTCAGCATAGGAAATCCATAACTGATCTCTGGCCCAAATTTTGGGGAAGCTATCTGAAGATCAAAACTCAGGATTTGTGATTCATAAAATTTTAGGAAGATAATTTTAAGAAATCTGTGATGATATAATCAAACCTCCTGCATAACACCGGTCATAAAATTTCACCCAGTAATTCCTACGGTGGGAGGAATTATTCTTCCATATTATGTAAGTGAACATGATTGAGCCCAATAACAGGTGATTGAATTAGAGCAGGCCTTTCAGAAAGCCATCTCTTCTCAATCAAAAGACTTCAAATTAATGCTGAATTTACCATTTCCCTTGATAAATTGGTCCAAAGATTAACTATCCTCGCTGTTAAAAACTTGTGACTTAGTTCCACTTTGATCTTTTCTAATTTTTTAACTTCAACTTCCAGCTAATGGATCTTCTCTTTAGTGGGCCTAAGCTGAACCCCAAATACTAGATTCTGGGAAAATTCAGATTTGGATTGAAGGGCCTGATCTAATACACGGTAGTCAATGGAAGGGTTTGACTTCAGTGGGCATTGAATCAGGCCCAGTCTCCTGATCTAAATTTATTGGCTTGACTCAACCTCTAGTTTCTTCAGTTTCATGTGTAGGACCAGGTGTTGGCTGCTGTCAAGGGCAGGATCCCAAATTGACCAGTGGTTTGATTTGGTTTGGCAAAGTCTTTGTTCCTTATATTTTCAGTAATGATCTGGATTCCCTTTTTTACTGTTGTAAGCCTTTTTCTTTGAACTAGAATTTCCTCTCCAACATCCAACTTTTTTAGCTCCTTGGTCATTCACTGAATTCCTAAAGTGGTGTTTATATTACAGTTTGTTAGGGGAAAAAAACACTGGGATGTCACAAACGTAGCGTAATGACCTCCATGCAGGTTTATCTGAGGGCAGGTCTATACTACTGCTTAAGTTGATCTAACTGACGTTGCTGAGGGGTGTGAAAAAGGCACCCCCCCACCCCCGCGTGACACAAATTACAGCGACCTAAGCTCTGTCCACACTGGCGCTATGATGGTGGGAGAGGCTCTCCTGCTGACGTAGCTTCCACCTCTCACGAAGGTGGCGTAATTATGTCAACAGGACAGTGCTCTCCTGCTGGCATACAGCGTTTTTACCAGATGTGCAGTGGTGCAGCTGCACCGCCGTAGCGCTTCTAGAGTAGAGCTGCCCTGAGTGTGAGTATGGAAATAAAATTAGAGGTCATATTGAATCTGGTTGAAACCTTGAAAATTGTGGCTCTTCAAGTTTATTTTTAATAATTTTTTCTCTTCCTCTTTTTCGATTCTTTTCCCCTTTCTTACACCAGGCAAGCCATTCTGATTTCTAGAACATTTTTTCCTTAGCTAAAGGAGAGTAGGTAGCTATCCATGCTAAGCAAATCATGAGTTATGGATGGTATGGTGTTTTCAGGTTTTAGTCACTGATGATGTCTCACGACATGCATGCCTTCTCTCTCCTCCTTTTATGAAAAAATATTATCTGTGTCTAAATATAGTATTGTTTTTGACCTACAGACTCTGCAGTGTTTCTTACAGCTATGCCTGAGCAATTTCAGTAATAACTCTGATAATATGAATAGGTTTCTTCTCCCACCCCCTACTGCTACAGCTGGTGCATAAAACCTAAATAGACACCAGGGTCCAATTGCAGAGCTTGAGTTTGAACTTGCAACCTCCAAACACAAGGAGTTCACCTCATTAGTGTACTAAGTTAATTGATTCAGTGCTCTGCCATCAATATTCTTTAAGTTACTTTAGTCCCTTGGATGCCGTTTACTGAGATGGTTTGGTCATATTTAATGTTTTGTTCTGGTTGTCCTATATTGTCTCTAAAGTAATGAGATATTAAAAAAAGGAGGGGAGGAAACTGAATAGTAAAGAGGGCAAGTGCTTTCCTTTAATTTGAGACACACACACAACAAGGAAATAACAGCTCAAAATGTGAGTCTGATGCATTCATGACTGCTCAGCTGAAAATAATGTTGCTATTTTTCAGGGTCCCTCTACCCCCACAAGGACATTTTAATGATACCATCTCTACTGATTAACATGTTGCACATCCATGTTAATTGACATTTCTGTTTATTTTTAAATTTAACACAGCTGATAAACTTTATATAGTGATATGGTCGAATCCTTAGATTAGTTTTGAATGTCTTTTGGTATCCCAACTTTTAAGCCTGATCCAGCTCCAATAACTTCAGCCCTTTTTTTATTGCCAAGGTTGTGTCTTTAGTAATTGCCTATCAACACAAGTAGTAGCAACTGACTATGAGCACCTCTGTTGTTCAGCTCCCCCAGCCAAATACATAGGACTGATAACATTTCCACTCTTTAGACCAGCAGAATAATCTTTCACTTGGGATCAGATGCCATGGGGTTGCTTGATGTGTATCATTTTAGGCTATTCTCGAATGTCTATCCTCCTAGTATCTAGGTGAATCATAGAATATCAGGGTTGGAAGGGACCTCAGGAGGTCATCTAGTCCAACCCCCAAAGTTCCGCGGGCCGGTCTCGAACCCACCCAAGCAACCAGTCCAGTCACGAAATCAGACTCACACAGTCTCTCTCCGTCAACTCTTTCTAGGTCCCCGGTCACTATTCCTGTTTCTATTCCTGTTTTTGAAATTCAGTGACACCTTGTGTAGTCATTTTATACCTGTGCCAAGTGGATGAAAAATGCTACCAGATCAGAATTGTGGTGCCAATGTAAATTACTATCCAAGGTGCAAAAACCAAGGAAAACTGGGCCCAGTTGGGTGTTCAAGCTGCTACCATCTGTAATATAAACAGTAAACTTTAAATTACAGTAAAAGTCCACAAACAAAGCTAGTTGGATAAATAATAGAGCTCTGCTTTGTGTTTGGGTAGGGATGCAAACAGCCCAAATACAGTTCTTTTGGATGAATGTCAGTCAGAAGGAATACTGGGCACTATACACATGTGATTGGGAAACAAATTGCCAGGAATTTCACAAGACTTCTGCTGTTCTCTCAGCATGTCCATCATGAGCACAAGAAAGGCATTCTCATGATGACTGTTCATTACTGTGTCATGGAGAGAACAATAGTCAGAAACCTGTGTAGTGTAGCTGGTAGAGATGAAAATGAAGGCAAGCACTCTATGACTAGAAATCCCAGGGTTGCGGGGAGAGACAGCGTAAGGTATGTGGGGAAGGAAGGAGACTTGGTGTCGTATAAAGAGAGACAGATGTAGTCTTACCCCACAGGTCATTCATATACCCAGTTAATCAAGAAGTTTGCTTTTCTCATAGTCAGTTTCCCATGACTCTCTTTATTGGGGAGAATTTGTTTTGCAGATGGCGGAGTTGACTGAAGGGATTCGCTGGGCCTTTATCGACATGTTGGAAAAGGAAAATGACTGGATGGATGCAAGAACAAAAAGGAAAGCTAATGAAAAGGTAACTGTTGATGTGGGAAAATGAAAATGCTGGGTGAAATCCTGCTGCGTTGAAGTCAATGGAAGCTTTGCCATTAGTTTTAATGCTGTGTTTAAAGTTCCATTTAATTGTTTATTATTTTAGAAATGCACATTGGCAATCTGTTTGCCTACACTTGTAGGATACTGGGCTAGATGGACCTTTGGTCTGACCCAGTATAGCCGCTCTTATGTTCTAATGCTGAGAAACCTGAACTCCTACTTTTCTGCTAAGCTGTTAATTTTGTTGTCTCATTTCCTCCCATGTTCACCCTGTTTGTTTTGTCCACTTCTTACACCCTGACTGACATGGAGATTGTGAGCTCTCTGGGGCAGAGCTGTCTTCCTCATTATTTGCCAGTACAGTGCCTACCACAATGATCCTTGAATGTGCTTTCTAGGTGCTACCATAGTACAAATGAATAATACTACTATAAAATATTTTTAAGTTTAGATTGTTTAGGATGTCCAGTACCTGGAAGGAGGAGGCTCCAATTTAGCAATGGGTATATGAAGATGTTATATCTGGCATCTTCTTTGATGTCACTGTTGGAAGTCTACCCCCTGAAAACAGTACTTCCAAGATGACGTCACCATTCCAGTGAATCAGCAGTCCCCAAATGCAATGATATCACATCATTCTCAAGATTGGCACTTCCCTTCATGATAACTTAAACATTGTGTGACATTATAGTGCAGAGGGTGAATTGGATGTTAGAAAGTATCCAAGGCTTCCTGAACCAGGTCCCTCCATCCCTCACTTACACTATGTGAGACATGAAAAGTGATCTCAGAAAACAGGGAGCAGCACACAGAGCAACAATCTGGATTTGTCTTCAATGCAAAAAACGACTGCAAGTGTCAGAGCCTGGGTCAACGGACGTGGGCTCACACTCTGGAGCTAAAAATAGCAGTGTAGACATTTGGGCTTGGGCTGAAGCCTGGGCTCTGAAATCCAGCAAGGGGATGCTCTCAGAGCCTGGGCTCCAAGCCCGAGCCTAAACGTCTATAGTGCTACTTTTAGCCCCATAGCATGAGCCCATTGAGCCTGAGTCAACTGACCCAGACTCTAAGAGTCACTGCCAAGGGGTCAGTCTCTCTCTCTTTTTTTTTTACAGTGTTGACATACCTTAAAAATGTGTGAACTCATAGGAGGAGAGGATGGGCTCTTCACTTTATTTGTGGAAGTGATTGGACAGCATTCAATTGACAAACACCCTTTCTGAACAGAATTATATGCAAGCAGAGCTGAATTATGTCCCACTTGCTGTGCTTGAATAAAAATAGCAGTTTTGATTTAAGAAAAGCAGTCTTCAAAGCTTTTTGAGAAATCAGATGAAAAGGCTGTGGAAGTTATTTTATCTTTGGAAAGTTTTAAATTCAGTATGCAACATCTTTGCTTCATGCTGCCTTTCTCAAGAACACATTAGGAATGTATAGATGGATGAGTGAATCATTCAGAGCACCAAAGCCAAGGGTAGCAGCGTCTCACTATGGTTCTTGCTAACCTGATAGCAAATGGAGTGTATTACCATTTGAGCCACCAATTACCCACATATTTTTACACAGCTTGTGAAGTTTAGGAAATGAACAAACTAACTGTCTGACTATATCTAATATAGATACTAGTGTATCTAATATAGATACTTGCCCAACTCAGGGTGAATTGATGCCATTTTTGGTCTTTGAAGAGGGAAAGAGGCCTTGTACATGTTTTTTTCCAAATAGCAACTTTTCTAATAATATCATAAGAGTCTGGTCTTATTTCTCTACTAAATTATTTACTTAACCACTCTCCCGCACTACTTCTGTCAGCCGCCTATCAGATATAGCAGAAGGCTGAACAGAAGAGAGCCAGTAGGAGAAGGTGGTAAAAGTACCATAAAGTCCGTAAGAAGCCAAAAACCATATTGGTCATATGTCCTTCTGATACATACAAAATGTGCCTGGCAGACTAAATTCAGAGCTAATTTAAAAACCCTACAATATGGTACAGTAATATATCCACTGTTTCAGTTGAAGTGAATGGGACTTCAACAATTTACTTCAATGGGAACAGGAGCAGGCTTATAAGAGCAAAATATATTTAAAGTATTATTTATTTATTTATTTATTTATTATATTAAAATGATTATTCAAAAATCACAGTAATATCATTGACAGCTGTCACCTTTTTGGATCATTACTGTAGAACATATTTTTTATAAGAATTCACATGTCTTGTGTGATTTTTAGCATATTAGACACAATCCCATAATAGGGCGTAAGTGGGATACAAAGTGAAATGACCTGATAAAATAATACTTTTAAAAAGCCCCATCTATCTTAAATCCTCTTAATCCAGAAGTGTTTTAAACAACCCCCAAAGCTTATTTCATTATGACTGTTCTTTTAAAAAAATTAAAAAATTACATCAAACAATAATATGATATATTTAAAACCAACACACAAAATGTCAGCTTTATTTGAGTAGTTTGGGCAATATTGGCAGAATATATAGGGAGCATCCTTCTCAGGAGAGATTGGCATCTTTCTCAAAAAGACATCCAGGAAGCAAGGTAATTTTCTAGGATTATTTAAGGCTTCAGATTGTAGGTTTACACTGAAGTTTACAGATAGACACCAGCCCTGCCAATAAAGAATAGTATGGTGAGGCAGTCTTAGTTTTGTAGAGATCTGGGTGGATATTTCGACATGGGTTCAAAGTGTTTATTCATAGAATCACAGAATATCAGGGCTGGAAGGGACCTCAGGAGGTCATCTAGTCCAACCCCCTGCTCAAAGCAGGACCAATCCCCAACTAAATCATCCCAGCCAGGGCTTTGTCAAGCCTGACCTTAAAAAACGTCTAAGGAAGGAGATTCCACCACCTCCCTGGGAAACCCGTTCCAGTGCTTCACCACCCTCCTAGTGAAATAGTTTTTCCTAATAGCCAACCTAAATCTCCCCCACTGCAACTTGAGACCATTACTCGTTGTTCTGTCATCTGCTACCGCTGAGAACAGCCTAGATCCATCCTCTTTGGAAACCCCTTTCAGGTAGTTGAAAGCAGCTATCAAATCCCCCCCCCCGCCATTCTTCTCTTCTGCAGACTAAATAATCCCAGTTCCCTCAGCCTCTCCTCATAAGTCATGTGTTCCAGCCCCCTAATCATGTTTGTTGCCCTCCGTTGGACTCTTTCCAATTTTTCCACATCCTTCTTGTAGTGTGGGGCCCAAAACTGGACACAGTACTCAGATGAGGCCTCACCAATGCCAAATAAAGGGGAATGATCATGTCCCTCGATCTGCAGGCAATGCTCCGACTTATACAGCCCAAAATGCCATTAGCCTTCTTGGCAACAAGGGCACACTGTTGACTCATATCCAGCTTCTCATCCACTGTAACCCCTAGGTCCTTTTCTGCAGAACTGCTGCCTAGCCATTCGGTCCCTAGTCTGTAGCAGTGCATGGGATTCTTCTGTCCTAAGTGCAGGACTCCGCACTTGTCCTTGTTGAACCTCATCAGATTTCTTTTGGCCCAATCCTCTAATTTGTCTTGGTCCCTCTGTATCTGATTCCTACCCTCCAGCGTATCTACCACTCCTCCCAGGTTAGTGTCATCTGCAAACTTGCTGAGGGTGCAATCCATGCCATCCTCCAGATCATTAATGAAAATATTGAACAAAACCGGCCCCAGGACAGACCCTTGGGGCACTCCGCTTGATACCGGCTGCCAACTAGACATGGAGCCATTGATCACTAACTGTTGAGCCCGACGATCTAGCCAGCTTTTTATCCACCTTATAGTCCATTCATTCAGCCCATACTTCTTTAACTTGCTGGCAAGAATACTGTGGGAGACCATATCAAAAGCTTTGCTAAAGTCAAGGAATATCACGTCCACTGCTTTCCCCTCATCCACAGAGCCAGTTATCTCATCATAGAAGGTAATTAGGTTAGTCAGGCATGACTTGCCCTTGCTGACTGTTCCTGATCAGTTTCCTCTCCTCAAAGTGCTTCAAAATTGATTCCTTGAGGACCTGCTCCATGATTTTTCCAGGGACTGAGGTGAGGCTGACTGGCTTGTAGTTCCCCAGATCCTCCTCCTTCCCTTTTTTAAAGACGGGCACTACATTAGCCTTTCTCCGGTCATCCGGGACCTCCCCCGATCACCATGAGTTTTCAAAGACAATGGCTGTGCAATCACATCGGCCAACTCCTTTAGCACCCTCAGATGCAGTGCATCCGGCCCCAGGGACTTGTGCACATCCAGCTTTTCTAAACAGTCCTGAACCACTTCTTTATTTACTGTGGTATTTCTATTGATATATTTTATAACTGTGCCAAGAGCTTTGGATGGGCACATGTTAAATGAATAAATAAAACCCCTTGATAAAATAATTTACTGGATAAATGGGAGACTTACCATGTGTCAGATCCCTAGAACTTTAATAAGTAGATTGCTTGCACCAATGTATGATCAGCTTTACACATCTTCCCCCTTCCATTTTTTTCTCTTTTTACTTTAATACAATAACATATCAAACAGAAAATTTGGTGGTTTTACCAGTATTTATTTACTGGTTTGATACACAGAAAGTGCATCTGTCTAAATGTGTCCACATTGTGTCATTGCCTGTGTCCACAATGCTGCTGTGATCCTGTCAGAGCTCACAAGTTGAGAGGTTGTTTTGGGTCAGTGCTTGAGATGAGGAACATCTGCATAAAGTATATCGCTGTGGATTCCTAGGTAGCCCTCTGACTTCTGGGTCAGTACTGAGCCAAAGCCCAGCATTATAATAGAGAGTTCTGTGTTGCTGGAGACACCATGTTTCAGATGAAAGGCCAGAAGGAACCACTAGTCTGACCTTCTGTATAACACAGCCCATAGAATGTCACCCCGTTATGCCTGCATTGTGCCCAGTGACATGTAAAATAACTGCTCTGGCTGCTATGGTAATGTAAGTGTCTCATGGCATTTTTATAAGAATAAGATTGTTAA